TGTGTGTGTGTGTGTGTGTGTGTCATGTAGCCTAGTGAAGTTAAATTTCTAAATTATTTGGAATAAAAAGAATCGTATCGGAACCAAGATTCAGTTGGTCTACGCTATACGCTGTGTGTATGTGTGTGTTATAATTAATTTGCAGAAATTCTATTACGCTTATTAACTCCGACTATGTAGCTTGAAACTCATTATAATGTAATGTTTAAAGCTACATTTTTTTTCCGAAATGAGAATAATACACACATAGAATATTGTGTTTTATTTGTTCAAGTTGATAAATAAATATAACAAATATGTACACTTGTATAAAATGATAAAGTGACAACAACAAAGAAGATTCGATCCTCATAGAACATATGAATTACTGGCATGAGAAGAGGTATTGCGTAATGCTTAGGACTTGCCAATGCACCACAGGCGATCCAGCGACCATGTGCATTAGTACAAGAGTATAACAACGATACAAACATAAATAATCATAAGACTCAGTGTAAGTGAAGGTCTCTTACACCAGGAGAGAAAGACACTTTGTACATCTGAGCAAACGGCTGAATGGATGCAATGGGAAATCTCACACGAAGAGGAAATGGGAAAGCGGTTGCATTGGTGATAATCGTTAGAACGAGCACTTAAGTTTAACAGTTTTGAAACACGAAGATATTCAAAACTGGGAGAAAGACTGGCCACAAACGTGCATGAAGGCGTGACACGTGGAAATAACGCTACGTAATCCAGTGTGCAAGAGAAAACGAAGGAAATGTCCTAAACCTACAGTATATCTCAGCTACGTGAGAAGGTATATCCGTCGCTCCCTGCGCGACCTAGGGCTTCCAACCGACGTGGAGATAGCTTGTCCAAGTTCGAATGAGGAGGAACTGGTGTCTAGGAGTGAGGGCGAGGTCGTTTTACAAGCTGGGCATGGCGGGGCACGTGTATCGGCTGTCACACGAACCTCCCTCTTGGCGGAACAAGATGGCGTCGAAAACTCCGTCTGAGATCGTTTCGTACTTTTCCAGCGAGTATCCGAATATCCTGCGGGGAGAAAATGTACGTATTTAATTATTGATTCTATAGATTATTAGCTTTGAAAGAATTACGTAAATATCTCCAATGATGAGTAAACAGCGCAAACTACCTTGAAAAGAGTAGGGACTTCAATATCTGTCAGGGAAAAACCGGGCTGTCCGAAACCCAGTGCAAGGAAAAGAACAAAAACACACGAGAGCGTCACTTCCATTCCGCCTCAGCACAATCGAGGACAAAACAGCAAAACACCAAAATAAAACACACTTACGGCTGCAGGTACTTGGCACCGTTGATCATCATTTTGGAAGTGGTAAGTAACCGCTCGGCTTTCCGGTCATCCAAGCAGGCCAGGCGGTTGAGACAGTCGTAGCGCTCGATGCCGTCGCTCACCAAGTACGTGGTGAGGTAAAGCAAGTCGCTTTTGTCGAAGAACGACTCCTCTGCGCTGCGCCCGATGAAGCCCAGGCCGGTTCTGATGCCCGTGAGACCCACCATGAGCACGAACTGAGGGGAGGAAGGGAGGGGGATGGTTGATTTTTCGTTTTGTTTTTGTTTTGTTTTTTTCCATGCATGACATCAACGCTCCGGTCATTTATGTACTCCATAGACCTAGCGTAACCAACAGACACCAAGAAAATGTAAATTTACTTGTGTATGATATTGTTTTCTGGTCATATTGTCAACAAGGTCGAATGTTTTTTTTCCGCAGAGTATACAAACAACTTCAGACACCAAGAGTACAAGGCACCAAGCTTACCGCAATGATCATATAAATAACAAGATTCTTGAAGTTGTAGCTGTAAACGGTGGAGGCTCTGGCAAGTTCAAGGGCGCCCTCATACAAGGCATTGTCGGTCGAACGCACCGTCTCCTCCGCCCACGAGCCGCTCGCGACGCCCAGGAGAACCACGGCTACTATCAACGCCTGCTTCATCATTTTTGGTTTCTGTGGGCAAGGCAGATTGTAAATTGTTATCATAATTAGTAGTAATAGTAGTAGCAGGTGTTACGATAGTTTGCCTGTTTCCAAATATCTTTCGTGTTCATTTTAGAGAGGAAAAAACATACTGCGTCAGTGCCAAGACTACAGCGCTAGATTTCCTGAAAGTAAAACCGTTACAGAAATGAGAAAGGCAATAGCAAAAAAAAAAAAAAAAAAAAAAAAAAAAAACGATTACGTAGCTAATGACGTCACCTCAGCACAACACCTGAGGCCATTACCACCTCCAGGTAACAATAACAAGAAAAAAGGGAATCATGACCACAAAACGCCAGCAAAGAGAATCAGTCCTCGAAAAGGGAACTGAAAAGGGAGATAGGAGAAGAAAGAGATGAATGAGGAAAAAGAAAAGGGAGAGAAATGTGTGATGAAAAGGTGGAAGGAGAGGAAACGAGGGAATGAGGAGAAAAAGATGTAAGAGGAAAGAATGAGAAAAGCATTACAGGAAATAGATTAAGAAAAAGATTAGAGATTATAGTGAACGTGTAGACAAAGAGATAGAAGAGATAACGAAATAAAGGTTGATAAAGAAAAATAGCAAAATAAAGCGTCTCCCGTCTAGCTGTCGGCTGAATGAGATGAGTCAGCAACGGCGGTCATGAGCCACGCTGTGGGCCACCTCCTCCCCCTCCCCCTCTTCCTACCCCTACTCCTCCTCTTCCTCCTCCTCCTCTTTCTCCTTTCCGTCCCTCTCCCTCTCCTCTTCCTCTTCTTTTTCCTCTTCCTTTTCCTCCTCTCCCCCTCCTCTCCCTTCCCCTCCTCCTTCCCCTTCCCCTCCTCCTCCCTCCCCTCTCCCTCTCCACCTCTC